CATACGTGACATCACGTGATTAGCCAGGTGTCATTATCATACGTGACATCACTTGATTAGCCAGGTGTCATTACCATACGTGACATCACGTGATTAGCTAGGTGTCATTATCATACGTGACATCAAGTGATTAGCCAGATGGCATTGCCATACGTGACATCACATGATTAGCCAGGTGTCATTACCATACGTGACATCACGTGATTAGCCAGATCGCTACCTTAGAGTGACACAGTTCTATATGACATTCTCGGCCGTTTTGAGTAACTAAGCCCTTGAGGTCATAAACCAAATTCTCTTTCTTCTTTATCAAAATCGTAAGATGATTCGGAGTCGCCATCAAGATATATTATGAAGAATTGAATCTGCATTACGACAAATTTATCAAAACTAGGTACTAAGCAGATAAAACTAGATGATCACCTCACCTCTGTTCCTCACCACCAACATGATCACATCACCTCGCCGCCTTACCGACATTGTCACATCACCTTTACTCATCACCAACATCATCACATCACCTTTACTCCTCACCGAAATCACCACATCACCTTTACTCATAGCTGACATCATCACATCACCTTTACTCATCACCGAAATCATCACATGGCATCACATTTATTGTTCCCCATCACCAACATCATCACCTCACTTTTTCCTCCTCACCGACATGATCACCTCACCTTTGCTCTTCAGATGCACTGTCTGGGGCAATAACTGCCGGTGCGAGTCCCGACTGGGCCGGTAAGGAGGTAAAACTTTCCCCCGCGCTGTCCTGGCACTTGGTGTCACGTGCTTTGATGGCAGATGTGACGTCAGTACTTCGCTATGGATGACCCTCTCTTCGGACAGCTAGTTTGAACAAGTATACAAGTATTACCCATTGATTAAATGAATATGCATCTTACAGTGTCCATGTCAGTAGGAACCACCTGCATTGCTCACACATTTAAGATAAGATTATGCGAAGGTGAAAAATCATAGTTCGTTCTCCAAAAGTGTGTAGTGTTCACTTTTCTTACTTGACTTCTTGAGATAAAACATTCCAAATTCTCTACGAAGATAAAAAAAAAGGTAATAATTTCCCTAATTTGAATTTTAAGTAATGTTGTGATATTCAAACCCCTAGTTTCCGTGAGCCATCATATTCCACCCAAAACACACCAGCCCCCCCCAAAAAAAAAATTGTGCGAAAAGCCTTAAATATAATCATTTATTCAAACGCTTCAATTAAAATTTCGCTACTTATACATTGAAATTGGTTGTTCCTTTTTATGTTTTGTAATGAGTAAACGCGACACTTAGGGTGTTGCTCAACTTTGTGTCTACGTGTTCTCTGGGTGTGTAGGTGTGTGCGTGTACGTGTATGTGTGCATGTGTGTGTGTATGTGTGTGTGTGTGTGTGTGTGTGTTGTGTGTGTGTGTCGTGTGTGTGTGTGTGTGTGTGTGCGTTTGTGTGCGTGTGTGCGTGTGTGTGTGTTTGCATTAATGTGCATATGTGTATATTGTGTATATGTGTGTTTGAGTATATCTGTGCGTATGTATTTATGTGTGCGTATGTTAGTGCGTTTACATAATTATATGTATATAGATCTATATAATATGTATGTGTGTATTTGTAGTATGTGTATGTGTACATATGTGTAAGTGTATGTGTATGTATGTGTATGTGTTTGTGTATGTGCATGTGTATGTATGTGTTTATATGTTGTATATAGGGGGTCCACGCCCATCTTGTTCGAATTGCATCACAATTGGCCATGGTGTGCTGGGTGTTGGTTCCAGTCCCTTGTGGGACGTTCTTGAACTTGGCTTGCTTGGTGAGTACTAAGACTCGTGTACCTTCTGACTACTTCAAGACAGCAGACAGTACATGTAGACAGTAGAAAGCAGACTACAGACAGTAGACATCAGACAGTGCATGTAGATAGTAGACTAACAGCAGATAGCAGACAGTAGACAATAGACAGTAGACAGCAGACGGTAGACAGACAGCAGACAGCAGACCGAGAGCAGACAGACAGCTGACAGCAGACATCAGACAGCAGACAGTTGACAGCATACAGAATGCATTATACAGAAAACAGAAGACAACGGACAATAGACACTAAACAATAGACAGCAGACAGTAGAATGTAGACAGTAGAATGTAAACAATAGATAGTAGACAGTAGACAGTAGACCGAAGAATGTAGACAACAAACAGTAGAATGTAGACAATAGACAGTAGACAGCAGACAGCAGACGACACAGAGCAGACAGCCGACGGGTTTGACATTCGGAACTGTGGCCTGTTTGATAACAAAACAGCCTTGATATTGACACAGCGGTAGAATTACCTCCTCCTCCTCCTCCTCCTCCTCCTCCTCCTCCTCCTCCTCCTTCTTCTTCTTGAATGATTGTGTACGCAAGAAATCCGCTCCATTCAATGAGTTGAGTTGTGCCTACAGGACGGATTTCGGCCCTTACACGACCTATTTGTATTGTAAGTGCCACAAAACTTCGACTAAAACTAAGAGTAAGGATTGGAGTTTGTTCTCCCAAACTCAGAAATCTAGTGCGGATGTGTTGCGTCGCGGAGAAATCAGGCGCTGGTTCAAATAGTCACCTTGAAGAGTTGACATTGATTTTATGGACTAATTTTTATTTCTTTTTTATAATTATTTCTTTCTTTCTTTCTTTCTTTCTTTACTTATCTATCTATTTATTGGTTGTTTTTCTTTTTAATTCGCTCATTCATTTTTTCATGTATTCACGTATTCATTTTTTAAATTTTTTTTTTTTTGGGGGGGGGGGCGGCCAACACATTTACGTCCATTTAAAAACACAAATTTCTGTGTGGATTCTACTGAAACATGTTGGTAAAAAAAACACACAAAAATGGTAAAATGACAGTTTCCAAGGTCACTCGAAACAAGCTTTGGAAGTCACCAAAATTTGAAGGCCATTTTCTCGCTAATATTACCTCTTACACCAGATGATTCCTGTGCGTCCTTCAATCACAAACATCTCAACTTCAATTTAAGAAATACTGGTATTTCTTTTCTTTAAACACAAGACAAATGGACTAGCTTTAAGATAATACCAATAACTCTGCAATCCGAAAATTGGCGAGTTCCTGACTCCACCGTGTCGTGGCCCATGTGTGCTCAGAGTAAGGGGTCAGAGAACTTTTCCCACAGCCAGGAGAACTGGACATTGGTCACATCCTCCGCGGATAGCTCTCGTGGTCTAGAGGTACAGTGTTTGCCTCTCCTCCAATATGTCCCGGGTTCGAAACCTGACAGCGACGGTAAATTTTCGTCTCTAAAATGTTCTGCTTTCACACCCTTTCTTGATTTTTACCCATATTATTCTGTCGTCTGCTTTCGTCTCCACTTTTTAACCCTCCCCTTTTGCCCCTCCTCTGGGTTTCTGACTCTTTCTGCCGCCTTTTTACTGCTACTCCTTGGCTCCTTCTTACTGCTGTCTTTCAGCCACACCCCTGATCTTGGGGCATTGACAAACGAGCAACAATTGTCGCGCAGTAAATTCTTGCAGAAAGTGTCGCTTTCTTTAGTGTGGCAGCTACACGAGGCAACATTTAACGCTACTGCTCAGTTCAACATGGACGATCGGAGAGTCAGGGTGGCTTTGGTCATGGTGGGAATAGTGTCGTGTTGAATGAGAAGCGAGAAAAAACACAACTATTGCAGGAATGCGCAGGCAGTAAATACGCCTCGTGTGTCCGCGTCCCTTGTACTGTCTGCTTCACCAAAACGCTGACCTGGTGTGTCGTGGCGTAGTAAAATGTGGGCGACACACGTCTGCTTCACCAGGACTGAAAATAATGCTAGTGTTGCTCGTGTGGCCCCTCCCATTCTCTACAGTGTGTCACCAGACTGTGCAGTAATTCCGGCTGCGTTTTTTACATCTCACCTGTCAAGGCCTTTAGGGTAGATAAGATCTAGCACATAGCCTTTTCGGATAAGGCCGAAAAAGTTCAGTTGTCCTGTGTGCAAGTTGCGCCCGTTAAAGATCCCTTGGTGGTCCTAAAATAGATAAGAGTAGGCTTCTGCCGCCACCCGTACAGTCTAGGTGGTATTGAGAGGAAATCTACATGCTTACACTGAAATGTGGGAACAGGGTGGTGTCGCAAAAATGAGCAAGTCGTTGGCAAAATTATTGTAAATCATATTGTAGTTTCCCTGCGAATGCACACAGCGGGTGGTGCAAATATTGGGCCCAAATAAAGAAAATATATATTATTACTGGATCTTGATCTTTTTGAAAAAAAATTTGTTTGGTCGCTGTCCTATTGGAGTGCCGTGCAAAGTTACGTGCACATTTGTAAATTAATAATACTTGGATGGAGGTAACCAAGCTGTAGAGGAAGATACCGGTAAAGCCAAAGTAAAACAACTATCGTCCTGGGTACTCAGTACAAGGTAGTCCAGCTAATATAAATTGAAATGTACGTTTTTTTAACGCAACCTTCGACACAATTTAGATCATTTAAGAGGCAAGCTTGCGACCCTGCCTGTCAGGGTCAGTCTGGCCTGAGAGGGAAGCAACATCTCAGCAGAAAGATATACTCTATAAAAATTATCCACACTCTGGAATCGAACTCGGGTCTCTTGCGTGCTACAACGAAGCGCCCAACCGCTACAAAACAGACGCCGGTGACAGACCAGTGGCTGGATGTGATACGTGGCATCACGGGAACTCACTGACCTCGTATTGATTCCCACGATTTGAAGGAATTATTTTTTTAACAAGGCAAATGCATGCTCTTTCATAACGTTTTGTTTAAGTAGTAGTAGTAGTAGTAGTAGTAGTAGTAGTAGTAGTAGTAGTAGTAGTAGTAAGTGATTATTCAGCGTTTAAGGCCATTGGTTCACACCACACATAAAATACACATTTTACAGGAGAGACTTCCTTGACAACAGCATGAAATATCATAACATCCTAAGCAATCTTAATTCTCAACGTTTGTTTTGACTCAAGACAAAAAGAACAGACATAAACACAATGGTGAAGGAATGGAGCTTTCCTCTATGAGAAAGGTTGTCCAAAGTTTATTTTTCGCCTTTAATGCAATTTAATTTATTTGAGACAGTCTTGAAAACCTGTACATGAATGCATCAGCACGTCTGCTGTGAGTATTCACTCATCATTGTGTGGAGTAATCGGTATCATATTAAAGCTTGTTCATCTGTCTTATTTTTGATGAGAAAAACACAGATGTATCCTAATTAGAAGTTGAAATATTAGAGACTGAAGGAGGTAAGGGTTGCTTAACTTGATTGGTAAAATTAGGGAGAAAATGGCCGCCAATATTTGGTGACTTCCGTCGATTCAGAATTCTTGAAAACTGAAAATTTTGTTCTTATAAGCAACGTGTTACAGTAATCTCCTCACTTCGAAGTGCTTTTTCAATGGACATAAAAGCTGTTAGGCGAAAAACTGCAAATTCGATAAAAATTGCCAAACCGGCGCAATTAATGCCCGTTACTTCAACTTCATTATTATGACGTGCGCCTGATTTCACCACTATGCCTCACATTTGTATACCTATGGCATGAAGCGTGAACATGACAAAGACGGTAACAGATCTTTCATTGTCATGTGTTCTCGTCCATCCAAGCTGGAGTGGGTAGCGCCTGAATAGATCATTAATTGTGTGACTTTGTGGGGACAACGGCATGAGATGACCTTGGGTGACATTTACATGGGATGCCTGTTTAGTTTTAGTTTTAGTACGGTTTTACGGCGTTCGCAACTGCATAAGGTCACATGAGCGCCAGAGGGTGGATGTAAACAGAGAAGTCCGTACAGGGAATCAGACTTACTCTGCTCAACTCTCTAGCTGCAACAGCACAAAATCTGCTTCGACTATCAAGGCACCCCGGAAATAGTGGGTCACAAGAGTGTGACAAACATACAAAAGAAGTAGAGGGGAAATGACTTTAGCACGGATTAGGACAGAAAAAGCAGCAGTTCCCTGTTGTAGATCAGGCACAGTTATGAGCGTGACATTGATGAATCAGCCCATTTACAATTCTATTGTGCATGAACGAGAAATGTCCCCCCTTTGGGAATGGCCTAAAAACATTTTAGTCAGTGGCCCCGCCCCGGGGCGTGAGATGCCTGTGGTGATACCGACTTGAGATGACCTGGACACAGTCAGACACAAGATGACCTTGTGTGACACGGACATGAGACGACCTTGTGGTCACAATGACATGAGACTTCCCAGGAAGTTGAGATTTTTTCACA